AAGAACCTTGGTGAAGGTGATATCGAATTGGACAAGAAGAAATTAAAGAAAGCATTAGAAAATGAAGATAGACGATACAAACTAAATGAGCCAGAATTAGATGACAGAAAACGTCCTTACAATAATGCTTTTATGAGTAAGAACAAAATTGATTCGGAGGTAACGGAAGAGGAGCTAGAAGCTTATAGACTGAAAAAACAATCGTAAGTATAATTTTTCTAAATTTACTTATATATTTCATATACTTAATATTGAATTATTACTAATCTTCACAACAGATATGAAGATCCTATGGCAAATTACGTTGACAATGAATAGTTCAAAAACTTTCTGTGTTCTGCAGCTTCATCAGTTGTAAGCCGACAATATTTAAATGTTACCAGTATAACTAATTCTCTTGTGCACTTGAACGAAATGAACCGATTTTTTGTTTGTATATAAGGTAATTTGGATTTATCATAATTGGTAACAGGGCTATGTATGAAAGTTTCGTTTCTATATATAAGTAATTTGTATTAATTTCCTCTAATTAATATGGATTGTCTAATCGAAGATCTGTAAAGTAAAAAAAAAAAAAATATACTCTAGATATTAAATTGTATTAGTGATTGAAATTAAATCCAATAAAAATAAATAAAGTTAGTCTTTACTATTAAATTCGGCTGTCAAATGTTTGAGCAAGATATTTCGAGCACCATATCCCTGTCGATTTTCAAATCACATGAATCACAGTTAAACATTTTTGATCCACCGAGATAATTTTTTATGAATCCACAATTCCTACACGTCTTTGATGTATACTCTTTGGTGCATTCAATGACCTTGCAACCTCTGAACTCCCTTGCCTTATGATGTAAAAACATTCGAAACCTGAAATGAGACCAAGTAAGCATCGCACGAGCAGTCTTTGACCGAATTTCTTGTTTGTTCTTTAAAACCATCCTCGAAGATTCGAATTTAGGTAAAGGAATGATTCATGGTTCTGACATAACCAACAGGCCAGCTGATTATGACACTCATTATGGATTCGTTGTATAATTTGTAACATCTTTTTTCTCAATCAAAATCTCTTTCTCTCATATGTTCTTCCCAAAGCAAGGTCCCTGACACTTTGGATTTCTTGGAAAACTTTAATATCCCCATTACAGATATACACAGGTAGAAATGGCTTAACCTGTTTATGCGTATTACTTATTTCTGGTAATCTTTCTGATGCTATTATGGTCTTCAGAAACGCATATCTTCTATTCCAATCCCTAGTAAGGATCGAAATAGTTTGTGTTCGATCCTTCTTTAATCAGTATTTCATTTGAAAATTATTTTCATATAATTTTTTATTTGTTTTGTATGCAGTTATCAATTGTCAAATTGCATATGTATATACTTCTCTAGGGGTCTCTTTTACCCAGAGAAGTACTTGAGTTTTGAAGCACTCATCGTTTAGACAGTGCCTTTATATAACACTTATGTTAGTAATTCATTATTCTATACCATCTTAAGAACCTTGTTATATGTCCACCTCATAGTTCCTATCCATTTTCTCAACTTTTCTCTTTCTTTGAGTATTGAATAATTCTGTATCTTTCGTGTTTTCAATCTCTTCTTGTCATTTTCAGATCTCAGTTGATTTGAATCCACCATGTATTGTCGAAAGGATAGTAATGATTGATAATAGGTTCTTAGCAGGCTCACTGGATTTGATGTCATCAATATTGACTTCTGAATTGAGTACCATGATCTTTGTATTGTTCTTGCCAATACTTTATTTATGCAAATCTGCAAAGTCAATTATTCCTGGTAATCACAACCTTTTTGATATCTTCTTAGTATATTATTTCAAAATATATATAAGCCTTTATGCTTTCAATTAATACCTAATTCAATTTTCTAATAAGTTTGTAGTCTGAATATTTCTATCTAAGATATTTATACTGCTTATCAAAATTCTTTTTCTGCTTTTCTAAATTAACTTATACATTTCAGATTTTTTTTTCAAAATAAAAAACATAAAAATGTTCTTTTTATCATATACAATATGGTGCAAAAGAAATAACAATTATATTTTTAATTATAACTTAATAAATAATTATTGGAAATTTATAAAAATTTATAAATATATAGTTAAATACCTTATAAATAACTTTACTTAATACTGTTTTTTTAATTAATATATTAATATTTTTAAAATAATTTAATTTTTTACTCTTTTATATATATATATAAAGTGATTGGAAATAGGTAAAAAAAAATTGGTTTTTTTTAAAAGTTTATTTTTTTAATACTAAAAAATTTTATAAAAATATAAAAATATAAAAATATTTCTGAACATTTCTAATATTTATATATATTATTTTTTTAATAAATTCATTAATTAAATAAAAAGTCATAATTTTTTTAAAAAAATTTTTGTAATTTTACTTTTGAATCAATTTTTTTAAGAATATCTTTAACTTTAAAACAAAATATATTAAAAAATTCTTATTATTATTTAAAATTAATTAATTTGTTTTTTTTATTATATCTTCAAAATTAAATTAATAAAATATTAAATTATAAAAAAATTTATTTATGGAATTATTAATTAAAATATAATTATAAAAAAATTGTCATTTTTTTTTACACTATACTATATATTTTATAGATAGAAAAAAATTTTTTTATTAATATTTTTAAAAAATTAATTAAAAATTAAAAAAAAATTTTAACATAAAAAATTTATAATATATATATATATATTTGATAAGTAAATATCATTTCTTTATTTACTTATGGTATTGATAAATTTACTAGTAAAAAAAATAACATCTCTTGGGTGCAGAACATATAACAAGTTAAATGCTAGCTTGTCTATATATTTATACCTAGTTAGGAATCACGAAATATCTGATTCAAATCTGTATACACGATACGACAGATGATTGACATCATGTATATGGATTTGAATCAGATATTTCATGATCCCTATACTTAGTTAATATTAAAAAGAAATTTTAAAACAATATTATATATGCTAAATATAGCTGGATAACAATGATACTTACTTATACAGAATTTTTAATTGGATGTAAATAAAATAAGAAGTAAGACCTGTGGATTTATAGTGTAGTGGTTAATACTTCACAGGTTAGATCACAAAATACCAGTTCAACTTCAGGTGAAGACAGTTAAATCAAATTAAAAATGATATTTGGAGCCATAACCTATAAGAGTCCTGTTTCCTATAAGAAGTCATTTACATGCTGATCCAGTGGAACAATAGGATTGTGATCTCCAAGAAAAGATGTGAGGTGTGATGATCGTCTGGAAGTGGTACGATGGTTATCAGACAAAGTTGCCAAGAACTAATCATACATTTAAAAGTACAGACTGGGCTGTGCTTCATCTTAACTAATCCAGTTTACTGTTAATTACTGAAAATAGAAAGTCTTGAAGAGACCACCAATCCAGTGCCATCATAAAATAACATGGTTAGCCATGCAGCGAGACAGAGTACATAGGAGTTGTGTCCTGCTTGATCAAAATGACTCCTAGATTTGGCAGCTTACACCAACCAGTCCAAATCTGAAGTGTCTACTAGGAGATTAAGAATCGATTCATAGGTGGTGTTTTACAAATCCACATCTATATAGATCCTTAAGGAGTCATGTTCTATTTGGCCAAAATGGCTCCTAGATTTGATAGTGTCCAACCAGCGGTCAAAACCGGAACATTCACTAGGGAGTATGTACTTATGTCAAAGGTTTCCCTCTGCTCATGTGATGGATTGAGAAAGGTGTGATGTAAAGGGTAATTTATATAAGATAATTAATAGTATAAGTCCCTCATAAGCACATAAGTCCTATAGGTTAGATAGTTTAAAACTAATGATAGGATTTCTACCCCCTATAGCCTCCTGGTATCACAAAGAAAAGTCATGAAGTGACAGGTTTTTGGATATCGGATGAAAAGTTAATAGGCTAGCATTTAGTTATAGTCAATATATTACAAAGGATGTTTGATATAATGTAAATATTGAATATCAATAAAGATTTGTATCTAATGCTGTTTAACTTTAAAAAAAAAAAATATGATGAGAAGTGAAAGAAAATTAAGAAGAAGAAAAAATTCTATATTTGATACTATACAAATAAAAAATGTAATAAAACTAGTGTCATATATCATTTCTACCTCAGGAGAAAGATAAAGACGGAGAACTAGTAGCAGGAAGATACTTTAGATGGACAGGACCAATGTGGTATGCTAAAGTTCCTAGAGGCGTACAAATTAGTACAGTTCTGATGTGTATGAGATCAGGCAAAAGAGGCAATGGTGATTTGTTTTTTTTTATAGGTCAAGTTATTTATTTGATAAAATATAAGTTCAAGCCTGCCAATTTCTAGGTGAAATTGGAGTCTTTATATACATATTTGAGTTATATTATTTTTGTACATGATAATTATGAGTTATAAGAAA